AAAAAAAAAAAAAAAGAAAAAAAAAATCGAGCGTCTTCAGGGAGCAAATTAGTTTGTGAAGAAAATATTAATTACTAAAAAGAAAAAGTTAATGAAAGATCGAAGTTTACCTTTATTAAGAGAATGGACAAGTAGCATTTGAATTGGATAATTAGCAAGAAATAATAAATCACACGGCATTGCTGTTAACTGATATCTGCATGAAATACGCTAATTTCTATTTGATGATTGGCCGCTGCTAACCCCGCCTATCAAACTCATAAACACAATGTCGTTCACTGAGTGGCGAAGATCCATCCGTTTACAAAATCGGTAATCTTGACAGCATTTTATTTTTTTGTTGACCTTTGTTAGCACAAATATATGTTGATCAGTCTTTTATTTAACTGTTCTTCGTTAAATTTTTTTCGTCGATGTAAAGTTGGAAGTTTGGAAAAATGAGCGGTTGATAATTACGTTTCCGCGTGTACAATTTCCCAATTCAATGTTATCATTCCCAAAAACTAAAAACTTTCAGGCTACGTACTTTCAGTTCCGGCAGTTGTCATTGATTAACCGAGAGGGAAAGATAAATTTACATATATAGTTAATCGAAATGCGAAATAAGCGGGCTATTAAAGAAAGATCTAAGCTGTGTTATACGACTTGCGAGGGCATGAGCCAAATTCAAGTTATAAGGTCGAAATATTGCTCCATTTGATCAAGGAAAACAGAACAGGAGTTTCAGACTCCTGGTCAGAAAAGGGACACAGTATGATATATCTTGGAAACATCAATTCGTTCAGAGAGAATTCAGTTGAAGGTTAAGTGGCCAAGACTTACTAAACGTATCTATGGCTCAGTTAGAATGATTTCTCCTAGAAACGGGTCCAATAACGCACGTGATCCAGGTAGTCATAAGATACCTTGCAATTAAAAGCTGAAAAGACCCGGCCACTGGAAAATAAGATTCATATCTTCACGCCGCCGTGTGATATCTTCTATCTCTAATCCGTGGTTGCATGGTTGTAAAATTTAGCTTTGAGCGGCTATTCTAATTGGCTGGAACGACTATTTGTCGTCAGCCTTGTCCCCAGGGCTTTTCGGGCTGTGAAATCCAAAATGGCGGAGACAATGTCCACCATCTCGTATTTGCAATTATTTTATCGATTGAGTGACGCGCTTTTGAAAGTTCATCGGCGTTTTCATTAATTTAGTTCAGTAAAATCGATTGATGGGACAATTAATTAAATTCGGATTTCCAACATTTCGAAAGGAACTCTGTCATATATTTTTAGCCCTGTCTGTGGGTCTAGACCATTTCCGAATTACCTAGCTTGAGCCGCTTTCTCAAAGTGAGTCTTGGTGCCCATCCTTTCATATGAAAATGAGATTTCATTCACATGCAAATTAAACTCATTTTCATTTGAATGGTTGTGCACCAGGCCTTGCTTTGATGGAGAGGCTTGGGCCAACTCGGAAATGGACTACTGAAGATCAGACAGGCACTCAAACAGGCATATCTGGATCTTCGGCCGGCAGATTCGACAATGGTTTCGGACAAATATCGGAAAACCATCGGAAACTGAGAAAGACTTATGATGAAGATGGAAATGAGTCGCAGCAGCTGATCGCCACAGACTAGAAGATTCGCCTTTACATCGATTACCAGTGTTTACGTAGTTTTTTTTAAATATCTTTCCGCGGCTTCCACAACAAGGAAAGCATAATTAAAGAGCAAATAAAAGAGTTAATGACTAAGATAGGCTTAATGGGTTATAAATGGAATTGGAATTAGAAAGCCAAATTGGTAAATGTTAACCAAAAGAGCTCTTCCTCGACATGGTGTCTGATGGATAGTCTTTCATTTTCGTTCAAGTTCTTCAAACAGAATGTTCCTTTAAGAGCTACTTATTGCGATCGACTTAAGGTTGCACTTTGAGTATACATATTAACACAATTAGCTCAACTATAAAAGTTTTACTCCATAAGGTGAGAGTGTAACATTTGTCATTCTGCAGGTAAATATGGTAACGTTCGACAATGTTGTTTAAAAGCCCAGAGTCCGATCTTAAATTTTAATAACCATTATTGTCAACGTAAATTCGATCTTAAGTTTCACTTACTGAAATAATAATGTTTCTTAAGCTTGACATACTTCCGACGCAGCTCACTTAAAAATCTAAAATCAAAACTAGACATGGGTCAAATTTAGGAAATGCCAAAAAAGTAATTCTAGGTTATTGGTTTTTATTACACGGCCTCTGACAAGCTGCCTCCATGTTCCAGACAAAGTCTGCATTTGACATCTGAGTGTCTGTTGAGGAAGTGTTTCAAGCTTTCCATTGTTAAAACTCGACAGTTTCGACACAGTGAAGGAAACTTCTAGAACAGAAAGGCGTTGTTTACAGCTACAGGTGAAGTTTTTCTAAGGCAAACCAAACTTCGTTTATTGATTATTGGCAAGGCTTTTAAATGCAAAGGACGACTGATGTTCTGCTAAAATGTTCAAAACATCGACTTGCATGATGACGAAGGCTTTCCTCCTCGGCGATCTTCTCGTCTTCATTTTGACAACTACTTTGTCGCTTGGAGAAACTTATGAGGGGCAATCTTCTTATTATTTGATTACTAATAGCGGGGAGGCTTCATCCAGTGATTCATTCGAAGTGTATAGGGCACTTGATGAGTTTGGATGCATGTCCTTGTGTAACAACAAAGATGGATGTGCAAAAGGCGTTTACGACCATGACAGGAGATCGTGTTTCCTGGAGATGGACGGTTGCAAAAAACGGAAAGAAAACAACCGTGGGGAAGCGATATTGTCGACAGGGGAAAACTTCGTTTTGTTTAACAAGGTATTTGAAAGACTCAAATGGGTGTCATATTGTTTTCAAAGTGTTTCGAATTTATAGCAATTTTATTGTGTTGATGCCACTAGATTTTGTCCATGATTGCAGGTTCATAGTTTTCTCTCCTGATAAAATCGTCCAAGCCTGTTTGGCTGTATTGCTTTACGGGCTCTTGTCGCGCCCTCGCCTCGTTATTTTTCATGTTTATTTTATGTTATTTTGTTTATTTTTGTTTTATTTTCCAAGCCTCTATCTACTGAGACTTCTCTTTTAGGAGTATCGAATGGTCTTTGCGAGCATTTGCGAGCATGCGACCAGTGCACTTATTTTCGCGAGCACGAGCAGTGATCAAATTTGCCTTGCGAGCAGCGAGCACCTAGAAAATACCTAATGACGAGCAGCAAGCACCTCGTAAATTTAACACGCGCAACCGGACAAATAACATACGCAACCGTCAATAATTGTATTGCCAAAACCTATTTTCACTTTTTCGGTTCCACTCAAATCGTTTCAATTTCTAAGCTCAATTTAAATCCTAGAAAGTTATTTTTCTTTAGTTTAGGATTAATTTGACAGCAAAACTATAAAAAATTTTGCAATGAATATTTTAGCGACAGTGGACACCGTAGCGACTAACATTATTGCAAAAATTGCGGTCGCAGAAAACCGTTATTTGAAACATTTTCAATCCAAAGCAAAACTAAAACAAAATGTGAATTAATACGTACGATATTTCTTGAGTCACAATTTGCTTGTTTTGCTGGTATTTTATCATATTTTGCTTCTTGGAGCGTTTACAAGGCAGGTAGGGTTACCCTGGCTCTAGGGTAGCCCTGGTCCTAGTGCTCAGCTAGGACTACCTCAGAGCCATGGTAACCCTACCTGCCTTACAAACACGTCCGTGAAAAAAAAAAAAAAAGAAATGAGAAATGCAGGCAGGAGTGCTAGGGTAACCCTCTTGCTAGGGTAACCCTAGCACTGTGGAGGAGCAGTAGGGAGGTAAGAGGTAGGGTAACCCTAGCATTAGGGTTACACTACCTCCTGACGTTGTGAAAACACCACGAGAAGAAGTTTTAAAAGCTCCCAGACTTTGAAGAGTTGTGACATAAAAAATATGTTTTTTTGGTTATATAATTCTTAGGGAATGTACACAACGTGGCATTTAGTCTGACAAGCATTTCGAGCTTCGGTCTCGATGATCGGCAAACCGTGTTTCCCACTGATTGACTGAAAAGGATTTAACACAATGAAACTTCATTTGAAAGCTTCTATGATCTAACCAATTGCAGCCATACAGCTCTGACAGGCTCACGAAGGTCAAATAGTAATAGTAATATTCTTCATGTCATCATGACTCTAGATTACTTTCTCCCCTTTGCGGGTGCCTTTCACGAATAATTCTTACGCCTGTCAGTTTCAATAAAACAAGGAACATGTTTCCAGAAACATTCATATAGCGCGTGCATGTTTCCCCAACTTTTCTTAGTTTTTCCATACGGGAAACATTGTTTTCAGCGTCAATTTTTGTTTCCAAGATGCAAATTATGTTTCCGCTACACGGCAGAGAATTTCAACAAAAATCTGAGCATGCGAGCAGTTGCAAAAATTTTGTGAGCACGAGCAAGCGAGCACACATCTAATTTTTGCGAGCAATTCTAGCCAGGCCAAATTTTGCAAACACCTTTAAATTAAATGGGACTATTCGATACCCCTTCTTTTGTTTCAGCTTGGTCGTACTTTCGATCTCAAGGAGCGGAAATTTCAAGGGGAACCAGCCGGTAGGTATGCGATTCGAACTAAGGAGAATGCGCGTTATTATGATTGAACTGAAAAAGTTAACTATTGTGTGACAGGCAGACTATTTAGGCCCCGTCCACTGACACCAGGCCGAAGAAATTTGAAAACGCAGCTTTATTTCTACGGTTAGGGCTACCGTCCACACTAATGCGTCATGAAAACGATGCTTGTCTCGTCAAAACGGAAAAATTTGAAAACGCTAACTTTTTGTTGCCGCGTGGACGGAAAACATTTTGAAAACTGAGCTTTCTCCAAAACGATGGCTTCACGATAATCATGTGATCTCCCTGCCTAAGCGTTCCTCAAATACAAATCCAAAATGACCGCATTTTCAGAGTGAAACCTCCGTTTTCAAATTCTTCTGGCGTAGTGTGGGCGGCGCGTTGCTAGTAACCTCTTTACTTTTAATAGGTATGTGCATTTCGTCAACTCCTCTCTCGTGCAAAGAGATCTACGACACCAACAGGTAATCAAATTATGCCACCAGTTGTTATGTTACATCCATTTTCTATAAGTGTATCATACATGAGCATTTTACTTTAGCAGTTTTGAGGTTATCGTGTCGATAACTACAAATCTGAAACAGCTGCTGCCTATTTTGTGTAGGTTGGCGCAAAGCGGTGTTTATTCCGTTTTCCCAGAAGGAGTGACCGGCCAAAAAGTACAGGTCTACTGTCACATGACTGAAATTCCCGGATGCGGAAAAGGGGGCTGGACATTAGTAATGAAGATTGACGGCGCTAAGGTGAAAAATAAAAACAGTTATGAACATAATCTAAAGGAAAAAAAACAATAGAAACAAATTAGACCAAAATTAATAAAAGCCAAGCCGAAACAAAAACAGTAGCAACAACAACAACAACAACAAAACGAAAGAAAATGAAGGTAATTTCCAGTCTGTACTGCGCACTCTCGAGAGTTTGTTTGCGTTTTTTGTTTTGTTTCATGTCAGACATCACAAATGTAAACATTTCGCAACTACTTGCTTGAAGTAAATTCAAAGTTTGAAAACAACCGCCATTGTTTACTATTAACCCCAAAATAATCTAAATAATTATCTTAAACAGGATACCTTCCGTTACAACTCTCGTTACTGGAACAGTACAGTACCCTTCCAACCGTCGTCAGCTCTCAAGGGACTGGACCACAATGAAGCATTATCCCCTGCTTACTGGACCATTCCGCAGACAAAGTTGTGCCTCGGTATGAAACAAAACTTGGAGAGGGGAATGGCACTAAACTGGATCCTATATCGGTTCACACACGCGCAAACGCTTCACAGCTTAATCTCTGATGGAGGTTACAGGTTCACAAATCTTGGCCGAAAGGAATGGTTATCGCTGATGGTGAATTCCTCGCTGGGACCTGGATGTGCGGACGAGGGATTTAATCCAAGTATGATTAAACAACGAGTTAGGATCGGCATGGTAGCTGGAGAGAAATGCCCTTCACCGACATGGGCTAGCCTGATCGGGTTTGGTTCCACTGGTAATTACTCCTGTGGAAACTTGAAAGGAGATGATCCTTCTAAAATGAAGTACATACCATCATTTGGTTACATTCTTGTACAGTAAAGATTTCAAATCCATGTAAATACATGTATAAGCTTACAATCATACGTATTGTAAATAACTGACAGTTATAGCTCTCTTAACTATATGGCTGTCTCACAGGGACTGAGAACTACCGAATTCACGAATTTGATTGGCTGAAATCGATATTGACTGCGGTCTAGATTTTCTTAGACCAGCATCTAGACCGGTTACATTTTACGGTGATAAAGTTTAAAACTAAACTGCAAAAATATCGATTATTTTCTTCTAAAAATATTAGTTCCAGAAAATATTCATATTCTGGAAGTGCCAAAAAGCCTGATGAGAAAAAAAAAAGGGTAAAGAGGACGAGCAACTTTGAGAGATTTAGTTCAGTTCATCGCCGTTCGCAAGCAAAGTGTCAGCGAGTAGAAACCAGTTACATTAAAAGAATTAAATTTTTCTTGCTTCCAATATAATAAACATCTTATTAACCGAGCTTAGTCGGTCTGTATGAGAGAATCTTGACCTTGGTTAATAGGAGCTAAAAATGTATTTTACTTCAAGTTTACTTACTTCAAGGTTACTTACATGTTACTTACATTATCTGTATTAGATTGTTAGAGAATCTTGACCTTGACTAGTAGGAGCTAAAAATATATTTTACTTCAAGGTTATTTACTTCAAGGTTACTTACATGTTACTTACATGTTACTTACATTATCTGTATTAGATTGTTAGTTTTCATTCCCCCAAAAAAAGCACTGAACCCAAGTCTGTTTAACAGATGTCCGGTCAGTCTATAACACTTTATTTTAAACTTTGCCTTTTTTTACATTTTTCTGAACTTTTTGTTTTCTTTTTAAATATCGAGAGACCGCCTTAAATGGTCTTCTCCTTAATTCAGATTTCAAGCGCGCCGTCTTTCCACAAGCTGACCGAGTCAAAAGGTGTCCTTGTTTGCTAGTGTCTTCTGTAGTTATCTGTTTCTTACTGGTTTGTTTGCTTGTTTTTATCCTGATACAAAAAGGTCTAGGCTGTTTTTGCCAATAACGTTAGTCTCTCCTCTAGCCTCTTCCAGGCGTTCAGTTAGTTGGGGAGCAGCGCGAAAAACAGCTCGCGAAAAAATAAAAAAATGCGCGGCGAGAGGAAGCGAAAGAACGCCTTTGGGTAAACTTAACAACAACGAAAGGTCGTTCAGATACCAGGATGTGGTATACCTTCTAACTAAAAACCACAAACCGGCGGTCATGTTACCGGTCTCTGTAGGCGGTCTATAAGTGGGCGGAAGGACCTTTTGCTAAGTTTGCCCACAGCGTTTTTTCGCTTCCTCTCGCCGCGCTTGTTTTTATTTTTTTGCGCGTTGTTTTTCGCGCTACGCCCCAACTAACTGAACGCCTGGAAGAGGCTACCTCTCCTCCCCCGAACCCCACCCGAACCATTACCTCTGGAGTCTGGGGGGCCTGGATTCAACAAGTTGACGCTGACCTATAGTATTTTGGCTCTGGTTCATTTGAAAAAATGGCGGACGAAAGATGAACACGTGGCTTTCAAGACTGCTCAAGAAAATATAAACAAATTGCAAATGGTAAGTTTTTCTTGACAATCCAGGTATTATCTTTAAATCTAACGATGTTTTTTTATTTCTAGCGTATATAAAAAGCTTTTGTTTCCAATTCGAAACCAGACAAAAAGCAAAAATATCGATGTAACTTCGGTGAAAACATCAGCTGAGCTGAAGGGTTTTTAACCCTACGCAGGCTAGTATCGTTTGCTTTATTTTTAGTCTTTGTCTCATACAGAAACTCTGATCATTCCTTATGTCTGCCTATTATATTACAAAATGTAGTTAGTGTAATCTTCAGCCGGTTTAATATTAAACGACACATTTAATTGCCCTGAATCGGGTGTTGCTATTTAATTTGACAAAAAAGCAAAAATTTTATATTATTTGAAATTATGTAGAAAATATTCAAGGTCTTTTGAAAGGGTGGTAGACGGGAGGGGGGGAGGAGTTCCTTAGTGATCAGGGTGGGGCTTATTTCAAATCATAAAAAATGCTAATAGGACATCGGTGATGTAGCAAGAAAAGTAAAATGTGGTGGATAGATATACTTAACCTTTTAGTTGATATCTGACAACTACCTGATTTAGTTATCAGATGTCATAAATTTACCCACAAGCTATTATTCACACACTAATCGAAAGCTTCAAAGTTGGAGTCATTTGGAACCATTGGGACCATTGATCCTTTGGGATTAAAAATAGAGTTAACCTTTTATTGACTTTATTATGCAACTGTGGTCATACATGTATCTGTTGGAGGTCAATTTGTTCTTTAGGTCACAATGATAATTCAACCAAGATAAATTTGTTACAACCTTGGTTTAATTTTTCAAACCAGTTTATTTTTTTTCCACCTTTTGGGAATTCTTATAAAGAATAACATGCACGCCACACATCCCTCTTAGTTCCTAACCCTACCCTACCAAGCCAGATCCCATATCTCCCCCCTCACCCTACCCCTAACCCTTAATACCCCCAGATCATATATATATTTTTTGTTTTGTACTCATTTACAATAAGCAGGCAAACTGCTGTTAAGTAGTCACCCTCTATTATGAGGTCACCATTCAAATTCCTGAAATTTGCCTCACATATTTACTATATATTTGACCTCCATTAAGCGGTCACCTCTATTAAGTGGATGGCATTAGGTGGTCACCCTGAGCACAGTTTTTTGGTCACGAGGAACTAATTTCGCTGGCACTGAACAAAGTCAGTGACCTGCCTCACCAAATTAAGTTATGTTACCGCAAATCACAGATGCCCATAACCGAGTTTTTCACTTTATGTTAAATGAGATGCCAAAACTGTCAAAGATCCCCTTAAGGCAAAGACGCTTGACACTTGCCTTAGTGAGGTTTTCAGCTGTTTAAATTGTTTGTCCTTATTCAGTTCTAAACTTTAAATAATCTCAAAGTACACAAAACACAAGCAGAGAAAAACATTTTTAATAAGAAAAAATAACACTTCAGTTATTTACTTTTAATCCTGGGTTAACCGGGTTTCTAACAACCTGGCCGTAATCTCTGACTCTGTAGTCGGCCACCTTCATCTCCAGTAGGCCACGGAGGCATTTGTTGCAAACATGCTTAAATTTGTTGGTCTAATACGCTATTGGTCCCAGAGCCCCCTTCCCCTTTGACACAAATTAACCTAGTTTGAAATCATTGACTGACATATATACCCCACTCTCACTTCTGAATTGAAATCGCGCAGCTTTCAATACGTAGGGTTCCACATCTGTTTAACTGCAATTTACTAGTTACTGCTAGGGTATGTATCAATGGGCCAATTAACATCCACGAGACTTGATTATATTTTATTGTTTACTTTTTTGCCCCACTCCTCAGTCATATACCAGTAACAATTTTGAGATACAAGAGTGATGAAACATTTGCACTAGTTTGCCACGAACAGCAGCAGAAGATCATGAGGTACACACTGAGTTGATACTAAAATTAATAAATCTATAAAAAAACTGCGTCAACCGTCGCATTGTCATACATTACTATTATTACTACAGCTTTTGTTCATGTAAAGGTTTGATCCCCAATACTGACTTTTCTACCTATGTGCCTCTTACAGTCAAACCAAGTGAAGCGGACCCCTCAAGATTACATTAATGAATTGATTATTTGGATATTGAACCCGCTAGTCGTTTCAAGAATGCAATAATAATTGAGTATTGGAAAATTGAAACAACAAGTCGTTCCCAGAAAACGGCTAATGAGTTTAATGTTCAAACAAATCAATTTAATATTGATTTTTGAAATGACTGGCAAGTTCAATATTCAAATAATCAATTCATTATTGCATTCTTGAAACAATTAGTGGGTTCAATAGTTAAATAATCAATTCATTATTGTAATCTTGAGGGGTACGCTTCACTTGGTTTGACTGTAAAACACACAATTTTCCTCCCAGGTGCTTGTTACTAGCCTCAGGCAACAAGGCTAGTGGATCTCAGATGTTTATTCCTGAGTGTTCAAAATAATTCACTTAAATACATTAAACATTACAATGAAATTAATTAGAAATGAATAAAATTAGGTAACGTAGAATTGAATGAAGTTACAAATAAAAAAAATGCTCTCATATCAGAAAATGTGATGTTTAAAAGCTGGTATGCTGAAGATAATACAGAACATTTAACATATAAAGGTACTTGTCCAGTTCAGGATGTTTAATTTTTTTATGCATAAATCCTTACATCTAGATTCTTTCATCTTTGTATTGTAAAGAAATATTCCAGTATAAAAAGGGCTTCCAGGGGTTTCATAATGTTTTTAGCAGGAGGGTAACTGTTTTTCACAAGCAGGCAAAACTTTTGAATTGAACTTCTTTGTAAGAAAAACATTCCTTTAGATGGTCAAACCAGGCGGGCAAAATTGCCCTCACAGTCAGTCAATTTGCCCAGTGTCTGGCCCTTAATGAAATCCCTGGGCTTTTCATGTAAGTAAAGAGTGTTAGTGCTTTTACAGCCGAAAAATGCTAACAATAGAGCATGTGTTGCTGTCGTTTAAAGAAGCTTTTCTTTCAACCAAAGACATAAATATATATGTTTTCTCTTAAGTTTAAAATTAATTTTATCCTCCAGACTAAAATACAATTCCATGGCATTAAAATTCCAAACGATCTCTGCTCCCCATTCCCCTAAGCCTTTCACCAACCAACCTCCTCTTCCTTCATGGAATGGCCATGCAGTTATGTGTGAAACTCCTCACCCTAGAGTCCCCTAGGGAAGAGGCATAGACTACGTGGGGCGGGGGGGGGGGGGAAGAAGTTGTGTATGACATTCGTCACCCTAGCATCCCTTAGGGAAAAGGTATAGCTCTCTGGAGGGACAATTGTGCATGACACTCCTCACCCTAGTCCCCTTGGGAAAAGGAAGAAACTTTTTTGTCTTGACTTGATTTGAATCCATTCCTCTGTGACAATTCAAATTAAGGCTATTAGGAAGTAAGGAATATCATGTAAAATTGTTATTTTTTCACAAGTTTGGCACTGTTTTGTGTTGATCAATGAAGTTAAATGTTTTTTCCTTCCATTTTTGGCAAGGCACTACATCCCTCTCATATTGGCCATTGTGTATTTATTGTGTAAAAATGCAGTGAGATATTTTCGAGAGTTCAATATGCGCAGTTACGTATAATTAGTAATTATTACCAACCGCAAAAACCATTCATCAGGAAGTTATTCCCTCAAATGAGA